AATGATTTACACCGGCTTTTCCAGAATATATATTTCTTAGCAAGATCTTAAGCTCAGTTAAAAAAAAAAAAAACAAAAATAAGTTTTCCTATATTACTTTTCTAAGGCAAAAAAATTACGAAATCTAAAAAACCGATAAAAGGATACACGCGTTTTATGTACATACAGCGTGTGTACGTCTCTATAATATTTTTGAACTATGATTAATCAAACGATGTCAAAGTAAGAGATTACTAATGCTGAATTTAATATCACTGTATAGTGTATCGTACAACGCCTTTTTCGATTTATGTAAATCACCCACTTCCTCGAACATTGTCACTAAAAGGTTTTTCACGTAGCTTATTGTCAAAATATTTCGACCCATTGTTATTTTGACCCACAACGGTAAATTCGGTGACACTGTAGCGACGGATTTCATTATTGAAGTTTTTGGGTTTTCAACAAAGTTAGACTGCCGATTATAACTCCGCTCATCATCAACATTAATTATTCKCTTATGAATTTATTAGCGTCAAGCAAAGTGTCAGAATAAACAACGTGTTCGATATATATATATATTTATATAACGTCTTAATACCATGACTGTCGAAAAGCGAAAACTATACTCGTGATGCGAAATATTATAATAATGGGACAAATTTAATTAACGATCTTAAAGYCGTTTGTTTTATTTTATTATTTTTTAAAAAACATAGTTATAACACAAACTACAATGACAGTAATAATTACGTACATACGACTTCCTAATGATTAAATTCAGAATATACTAATATAGATTATTGCAATATATTTTAGAAAATTAAGATTCACCGAAAGACTAAGCTTTATTATCTATATCTATAAGTAATAAGTATACATACAAAGTATATAAGGCATATAAAAAAAATATAAATAAAAAAAATATGTATTACGCGTATTATGAACTCATACATTTTTGATTTGTTATCTGAAAGCTTCTTATTGAATTTATTGGAAAGTGGATGACTGAGTATCAAAGACTAAAATGCTCGTTACGATTTCAGTCAAAMTTTAGTATATATTAATATTTCTAACTTAAAATTAGTTAAACAAGTATGAAATTTATACTTTAACCACGAATTCTGGGCATTGTACTAATATATAGACGTTTCAGTTTATTCTGTCTTATTTAGTATGAYGTTAGAGATATACGTTTATAGCTTTACATTTCAAGTCTAAGAGTGAGMACTAAACATAAGAATAGATTCTCATCGCCCACCTGTTATGTATTATATTTACATCACACAAGATAAATTTTTTAAATCAACACACTGAATATACAATAAAATTATATTATACAATATACATATAATTACGCGGTATATATTTCGACGAATATTAGCGGCAACAAATCGTTTTAATAACAAGGTGGTACAAAGCGCACTTTCATAAATTTTATATTGATGACAAGTGCMAATATATAATATATTGTCTCACTAGGTATTAGATTCGAATTTCGTACATGATTTGCATCGGCCGTACTTGATTTTGTGAARATAAACATATCACATCTTAAAAACAGATTGACGGTCCCAATTTTCAGGACTCAGGACTCGACTTTGACTGTAGATTTGCACATTACAGCTATCGTTTCTATCTGCAAGCATTCTATTTTTATGTCGTTTGGAACGCCATGTTTTAATAAACTRGTTAAATTATTTCCACCTGGGTCTCACGGGACAAAGCTAAAAGGAGCGGCGTGAATGCGTGATGGGAATTAGGGGCGAAAGCTATTCATTTACAGTTTACTGAGGTAGCTCGAGATATCTCAGATCCTCTATATAAGGTATATACGTGTGGGCAGGAAATCTATTCAAAATTGATGATGAGATTTTTCTCTGGCACATTTTTCACACAATATTGGTTTTCAAAGTTTCGTTCGTGTATCGCAAAGACGAACACGATCAATATTATAGTCATGAGATAAAAATGTATTGGTTAAAAGTATATAAAAAGTCTAGCTAGCTGCCGTTTATATTATGTATATTCAATAGTATACATAATTGATTTGAAATTCAAAACGTTTTGTTGAGTAAAATAGAAGCATATTATTATATTAAGCCTGTTTGGTGKATACTATTATGATGTTTATAACGATTCAAATAACGAATAAATTGTATAAGTACGAGAATAATACCAGGTTCTAGACACTTTAAATATTATCAATAATAAGCGGCCATTTTTTTTAAAGGAAGATAATATTATTATATGTATATCATATATATCCGAATTTCGGACATTTACCAACAGTAGTCGGCGAAACCTAGGATTTACCGGTAAATTCTAGGTTTAACCGGTATTCGTACTTTAACCGTAACATATATAACTGTCATACTGATTTTCTCCAAAAAAAAAGTTATCAGATTTCCCTAGGATTCTCATATAATTCCTTATCAGTGTCCATTTTATTTTTACTTACTCTGTGATAATACTAYATACTTGTCTTTTTCCGTAATTACGAAAAATGTTTAGGTTAACAATAATTAAAGATGTATAAATTGCATGTCTGAGTACGATACGACGTACCTACCTACGTGGCGACTCGTCTCTGGTAAAGAAATATTCTTCTTTTTACATTATGTTCTAGAATCTAGACGTTTTTCAAGTATTTCGTGTTTATACGTTCTCCGACGAAACCGGTTTTTAAACAGTTAGAAAACTATTCAAAACGTTAATGCGTGTGTMGGTATAAAAGTATAATATAATCTACGTGTTATACTAGTCCTACACCACATCRCCATTCGCCACCTATCAATATTGTAAGTATTGGTATTAGTTACTGAGCAACACACATCAACATCGTTAAGGATTCTATTTTTTTATTCAGTCGAACTGTTGTTATCGGTCCGTWGTTAATTAAAACAGAGCAAGCGATRATAACATTATTAATCTGTAAACGCGTCTTCTACAATTCGGRCAYAATAATAATAAAATGATTTTCATTTATATAATACACGGTGTACGTGTTATAAATACATATAATTATAAATTATAATAGTCTAATGACCGGCGATTCGTAACCTCCGACAAACGCCTATGAAAAACATTAACACGTTGCTTATCGTGTAGTGCTGTATATCCTGATTCTTGATTAACGGTGGGGGTGGTACATCGGTACCTAAATCATCGTAGCCAGGTTAGATTAGGACACGCATTAAGTTAAATATTATATTATAATATATTAAGGTATTAATTCTTAAATTTTCCAGGCCAATTAATAAGCCCAGGATTTATAGGTAGTAAAAAAAGAGTGTGCTTGGCGCAAAAACATAATATATGGAACTCTTGTTTTACAGATAGTAGATACCTAAATATTGTACAGCTATAAATTAAATAATCGTTGTATAAAAAATATGATAAACCATATAAAACGTATTACGTATAATATTTAAGCCGGTGTATGGGATTATAAGATACTAATATATAGGTACGCATATAAAAATAAATAAATTACACATTTTTTTTTTTAATTGACTATAAGGTTATTGACACGAAAATGGTAACATTATCTTTGAACTAGTGCCTTAGTAAGTAGAGTGCAAGCTTTGGCCATTGTACGTACAGATCTATAATAATATCTTACACAACTGTATTATGAATTTATGATTTAAAAATCTGAAAAAAAAACCGTATGCGGTTTATGAACGTTCTCAATGGACGTCTTGACACGTGGTTTGGTATAGGCAGTAGAAATGTAGGATATCTAGGCATTATCGTTTTATTATTTTAAAGGTTCACGATGAAACACGTTAGATCAAACCGATTGCCAAAAAAAAAAAAACGTATTATTTAGGTAGGTAATATATTACATGATATAATAGTATTAAACCTAAACACGTCCGACGGCAATACCGTTGAATTCAAATGTCACGCCCTTCCCAACCACGCGGCAACGAACGCGCATATTATGGGGACGTCGACTTCGAGCCGTCTAGGCGTTTTCGTACATAAAACGTCATTACCACGACGACACGAAGATGATGACGTTATTATTATTAACCGTAACGAGYGTACGCATAACGGAATTTGCGTGCTTGTCACTGAGTGTGTAAACAGTTAAAATAAATTATTAGTAGCAGTCTACTCGATSGCAGTAATAAAAACGTAAGCAGTAAGCACAGTAATATAAAATTATAAAATAGATATGATTTATAATAGTCTAAGTAGGTACATTTTTATGCAAYCACTAATATTGTTATTTTCGAGGTTTTCGTAAAAGCTGTGATTTATAAATGCCACTTGTTGTGTAGGTGTACGTTGTGCGTCCTATCATCCGATTGTGCGAAATTGGAAACGGCGGTGACTATACAATAATTCTAATATTACATTATGTAGGTACTGAAGATAAGCAGTGACACGTTAGCTATTTTCTTGTTTTGTATCAAAGTAATTTCTCTAGTGTCGGTATCAAGTTTTAATTTTTTTTTTTTTATAACGAGCGCTTTCGAATTACGATATCACATAACACACGTTGACGGGCGGTCATATTAACTTTAACAATATAATGGTATTTTTCATTAGTGGCAATAAGTGACACTTTTGAATAATATTATCATATTTATAGCTAAAATAAAAGTAATCGAAAAACGGCCATTACTGCAGCATAAGTGGCAATTTCAATAGTTTGCTGTGTGGACGACCAAGTCTTACTGTGTTCATATACTGCATATTATACACCATGAAATTGGGCACTGACAAAATAAAGTGGATATACATGTAATTAAAATAGTTATGTCATGAGTGGACATTTTATTGATAAATGATAATAGTGATTGATGATAAACGTGAACATTGATTAATTTACAATTTAGGCATGTTTTTAATGATTTTAAATAATTTCAACGATTTCAATARTCTGCCCGTCAATGTGTCGTATTCCTAATTCCTTTGGTTTATTAAATATGCAKTGCGTCTCAAACAAGTTGAGGACCTATATGGGCTATATATAATATGCATGGGAAAATACTGTATCGGCTTACCTTGAATCGAACTTGGTGCCATCAAGCAGCTTGCCGGTGTAGTGCATGGTGAGCATGTCGTTGTTCTTGGACTTGGGATCGCATCCATCCAACGTGTACACGTACTCGATCTTCAGACCGTTGGGCAACGTCTCGGTCTGGCCGACGGCGTCCTGTTGGTGATGTGGTTCGGCGGCCTGGGCCAGCGCCACGGTGRCGCACACCGCGGCCAACACGCGTAACCAGCTGCTCCTCATCGTTGGGAATMTGTGCGGATTATGCACACGATCGTCGATTGAGAAGACGAAAAAAACAAAATTCGGAAAAAAAAKCCGTTCCGTTAGTGAAAACGTGGCAGATCGTGGTCGAGGGCAGTGAACAGTGACAGTGACGTGCGGCCGACTGTTTGACGACTGACGGACTGACGACTGTTGAACGCCGCCGTGGCCGTTCGGTAGCCGGCCGCCGCGATCTTCTTCCGCCCGCTCCGTCGCGTACCTCCTCCACCATACTTCACCCCCACCATATCATCGTTGTGTATACTCTCACGCRGCAGCGGCCGACCACTGTATCTCGTCCGTTGCGCGTACTCCGCTGATGGAGCGCTCTGGTCGTCGGCGGACACGGACACGCCGTCGTGAGAATTCCGTTGGCTGAGATTTGTGTTTTAAAAGTTTTAATTTTTTTATCATCAAACAATAAATACGGCGAATGCAGAATATAGCCACTGCTGTATTTTTTAGAATCTCAGGGGACCGATAAATACTGTACTTATTGATTTTATTATAATCAATGATATTGATTTGTGTGGTGTGTTTTTATTCACTATTTTTTGGAAGTTCTGGAAGAAAATCGGTTCCAGTTGGTACTTTTGAGTATTAATGTTCTTTGTATTTTTCAATCATAACCAAGAAAAAAAATTTAAGTAATCTCAGGAATTTCGACGATTTTTACAAAATTGATTAATGGTTATGTTTTATTGCTACAATTTAAAACTAAGTAACTGTAGAGACTTGAATGTTGTTTAATCATGTTTCAAATGTTTTTAATGTTCTACCAATTTTAGTTTATTTTGAATAACCTATATATTAATCTATGTATGATAAAATCTTGGTGTGTTAATACAATTTTCAATCTAAAGTTTTTTTTATAAGTAAGTGTTGAAAGTTCAAATTTTTCCAAAATTAGTCAAAATTACGAAAGTATATGTAAAAATATAATTAATTAAAAATGCATATAGCTTAAAGCCACAATTTTTTTCGAGCGATTTTTATATTTCGATGACAATATTGGTATTAGGTATTATATGTAATTATACGTATAATAAAGATATTTTTTTATTTTGTTTTAACACCGTGATATGATGCTGCCTACAATAGCAGACGAAATCCAAAGGTTTGCTCGCAAACACGAGACGAGGCTAGATCAYCATGTCAATYCATTGGCCATTCAATTATTAGATAACTCCAAGGATATCYGACGTCTTAAGCGTCTGAAACCATACGACTTAGTTTAAGATTTTAGATTAAGGCAGGAGACACTTCATTGGAAGTGACTCCATCAACGTGTAATATACATATATATTTTATGTCAAGTAT